CAGTTCATTAGTCTGCTTCAAATGCTAATTCTTTCATTTTCGTCCCGTTTACTTATTAAATGTTTATCAGTTTTAAGGGTTTTATCATATAAAGACTTTTTTTATTATATTAAAAAGTTTTTGTGATGTAAAAGGTTTCATTATATTAAAGTTTTATCATAGATTATATTGACATGGTTTATCATAATAAAGATTTACAATTGTGGGTAGTAATTTTTGCTTGTCTTATTTCAAAGATAAAGATTATTCTGATTTATTGAAATTGTTAATCATTTTTTTTTCTTCTTATATTTAAATATACATGTTATTGTTTATTAACCTATTTTAGTCTCACCTCTTTCCAAAAACCAGTAAGAAATATTCCGAGCATGTTAAGCCTCGGCGTTCCTACCCTTAAGGACTTGAGAGTCTTAAGTCAGTTGCCAAAACCGCTCGACATATCGCCGGTGTCGTTCTAATACCTAAGCCCAAAAGTAACATTTTACAGAAGCCAAAAACCGTTCTGTTTATTTATTACTATTACTATACGAGGTATTAGAAAAGTTAAATTTTTAAAGTTTTAAAAATTTTGTGGGCTACGAGATTTTCTGTAATGGTAAATATGGGTAACCGCAACAATTTGACGTAAAAATCTCATTTTTGTCAAAATGAGGGTTACGAGGTATTAGAACGACACCGACGATATGCTATTAAGAGATGTTTTTTTTTGTATTTTTATTTTTTTTATTATTTTATTTTGTCACTAGCGAATGGATGTTCCTTCAGGACTCTAGGGCTGGTCACAGGTGCTGCCTTTATCCCCTAATAGTATACTGACAACAGTAGCTAAAGACCTATGTCAATGGTCTTTAGGCTAACTGGTTGTTACAATTATATTTAACACTCCCTCTCAATTTAAATGCATTAATACAATAACATAAAATAAAATTAATTCAAGATAATCTAAATACTTACAAACATCAAAAGATATTAAACAAAATAAACTTAAATTCTACTTTAACAAACTTAGTCTTAAGTTGTGAAACATTTCCTTATATAGTGCTTTTGTAAAGATATCTGCACAGTTTTCACAGGAGCTTACATATTCTATAAAAATTTCTTTCTTTAACCAAAGTTCTTTGATAAAATGGTATTTAATTTGAATATGCTTACTACGTTTAGAGTTTTCGAAATTCTTAATTACCGATATAGCACTGAGATTATCAATTTTTAATATTACTGGTTTGAACTCACCAAACTCCGACAAAATCCCTTTTAAATTAACAAGTTCTTGTGCGGCGTAACCAGCAGACACATATTCTGCCTCCATCGATGATAAGGATATACAATCTTGCTTTCTAGAATGTCAAGCTATTGGATTGTTGGCATAAAAACAAACAAATTCACATACGCTTTTGCGAGTTTGTCTATCACCACCCCAATCTGCGTCACACATAGCTTCCAAACCAGTCATTTTTTTCATATACCAAACCATAGTCTTTTGTAGCACTAAGGTAGCGAAGAATTATTTTTCCTACTTTCCAGGCACTCAAAGTAGGTTTATCCAAATACCTACTCAGGTACGAAACACTAAAGGTAATATCTGGCCGCGAAGTAACTGACAGATACATTAGGCTACATATTAATCGTCTATAAGACACATTAGTTATAATTTCGTCATCACTGTTTATTTGGAAATTTAATTCCATGGATGTACTCACAGGTCGACATTCATCCATGGAAAATTCATTTAATAATCGTGAAATTATTTTAGTTTGTGTAATTTTAAGTCCATTATCTAAGTGGGTTATTTCCATACCCAGAAAGTTCGAAACGTTATCAACTATTTTTACGTTAATTGTTCATGTAAATTTTTAATCAATATATTGACCTGTTCGTCAAGCCCGATTGTCAAAGCATCATCAACGAATAGCACTAAATAAACTTGATCTTTTATATATAAACAATAGTCATAGGCAGACCTCCTGAACTTTAAATTCAACATTACTTCATTAAATTTTTATGTTCCAACATTTTGGAGCATTTCTTAGTCCATATAATGCACGATTTAATTTTAAATACTTTACATTAGTCTGCAACCCTTCAGGTGGTTTAAGGTAAATGTCATTATCTAATGTACCATTTAAAAAGACAGTTGGAACATCAATTTGTTTCAGTTTCCAACACTTTTGAACAGATACTGACATTAATATTCTAATTGTGGGTAGTCTACAAACTGGCGCATAACTGTATTCTTCTCCAGTATTAGGTACTTGAAACCCCCTGGCAACGAGACGTGCTTTTTTAGTACCATCTTCTTTAATTTTAAAGACCCACCTTGTATCAATAGCTGTATGTCCTCTAGGTAAGTCCATTGGAGTCCAAGTTTGAAGTTTCTTGAGTGAATCCAATTCACTATTTATTGCTTGCAGCCATTCCTCTGATGCACATGCCTCTTTATATGTTTTAGGTTCTTCGTCTGTAGCAGTAAGTAGACAATAAGCAGCGTATGTTTCATAGTCTTCTAAATGTTTTGGTTTCACTATATTTCTTCCTGATTTTGTAGTCATTTGCACCTCTGGAAAAATATCTTTATCACTTGAGCTTTCTTCACTTTCTTCTTGTTCCTCATTTTTGGTTTCATTTATTGTACTTTCATCTAAATTATTTATTTCTTCAATATTAACATTGTCATCTTCAGGTATAAATATTTGTTCATTCTGTATTTTTTCTTTAAACTCCATCGCATGTTCATCAACGCGTACATCTCTACTTTTAACAACTTTTTCTTCTTCTGGTAAATATAATCTATAACCTCCTTCACAATAACCTACAAAAACAGCTTTCTTTGCTTTAGGTTCTAATTTGCTTTCTTTTGGTAATAAAGTATACCAGACACGGCACCCAAATATTTTTAATTTGCTTATATCATTTCTCCCATGCCAATAGTCTGAAGGAGTTTTGCCTCTTGGTAGGGCAGAAGTTGGAGTTCTATTCAATTCATATGCTGAGCACTTTAGTGCTTCTCCCCACAGCATCTTAGGTATATTTGAATCAATAATTTTGGTTCTTACCATGTTTAATAGTATGCGATTCATTCTTTCTGATTTGCCATTCATTTGAGGGCTATAGGGCATTGTATATTCTAATTTAATACCCTTCTGTTTACAAAATTGTTGAAAACCTTTTGTAGAAAATTCTCCACCATTATCTAGTCTAAAACGCTTTACTTTCACATCATGTTGTCTTTCCATCTCTGTGATATACTCTTTTAAGTTGTCTTCTGCTTCATTTTTATAATTCAAAATTTTAACAACTACAAAATGGGAATAATTATCTAGTATTGTTTGAAAGCATTTACCCCCATCCATGGTGCATGGGGTTATTGGCCCACATATGTCACTGTGGATCAGTTCACCTATAGCATTTGTGTCTTTCATTTGTTGTAAAAGGTGACCTAGTTTCTTTTCCCTCTACACATGTAGAACATGTTCTATCAATCATATTCAAGCCTAACTGTGACAAAGCATCTTTTCTAGCATGGCCTAATCTTCTGTGCCAAATATTTTCAGCTAGTGTCACATGACAATTTTCATTTTCTCTAAAAATGCTATCTAAATTCAATACATATAAACCATTTTCATTTTGACAAGTTAGTGTAAAGTTATGTCCATTAATTGTTGTTTGATCTTTTTCAAAAATGATTTTGTCCTTTTGAGGTCAATTTTGATGCAGACAAAAGATTATGTTTAATTTTTGGTACTATTAATGCCTCAATACTTATGGTTTGACCTTGACATTCAGCTTTCAACAATCCTTTTTTAATTGTTTTTAAAATTTCACCATTTGCAATATGTATGGATACAGGATTTGGCAAGGTTTCAATATTAACATATATTGACTTGCAGTATTAGCTTGCTGATATTGCTGATTTCTTTGACCTCTATAAATGTGACCTCTCTGTAATTATTATATCTTCCTCGATAATTCTTTCTATATGAACCTCTGTAACTGTTATTCGACTTTGTACTTCTTTTTGGACACTGTGATTGATAGTGTTGAAAACTTTCACATGTAAAACAGCCTTTACTACTTGTTGCATTAAAACTTACTTCATTTTCAATTTGTTTACCCTCCATTTTAGAGTTAATTTTAATTTCTTCATCCAGCAATCTAGCCTTTACAAAATCTATTTTAACATCTGTGACTGTTTCTAGTGCTGTAATTAGTGTGTCAAATTTGGACGGAAGAGACAATAATAAGTGACAAACTTTATCACCTTCATCTATGTTTGACCCCAAGTTTTTTAATTCTCTTATTATAGTATCAAATTTCAGGAAATGATCTTCCAACTTTTCATTTGTTCCAGACTTTAAATTGAGTAATTTCCTCCATAGAGTTTAGTGAAAGAACTTGTTCTATTAAACACTGCTTTTAGGGCATTTATTTGTTCTTTTGCAGTCTTTTAGTATATCTAAATGTTTGTCTGAAACACCTTGAACAATGATAGACTGTGCTTTGGCATCAGCCTTTTTAAATTTATTTTGCACTTCAGCTGTAGCTGTCGCAATTGGTGGGGACTCTAGCGCTTCTTCACAATTCTCACGTTTTAATATTGTATTTATACGAAATTGCCAGTTATTAAAATTGTTTGCTGCTAAAATAGGCACCATCAAATTATAATTTACTCCCGCCATTCTCGTTTTTTAACAGTATTTGTAAAGTCAAAGTTTGCCCGACTTTATTCAAAACTTTTCGACGCTTATTAAGAACCAGCCACTTTTGCAAATACAACTGGGCCCATAACCTGATGAATAATGTGGAATTGATTAAATAAATGTATTTAATCAACGACTGGTTTCATTAAGTTTTCATAAAGAACAAAAGTGAATTGCACTTTTATTTTAACATCAGTTTTACAAGTGGTCAAAAAAAAAAGGTGACATCAGACAACTGACAGAATTCAAGTGACATCAATCATAGATCATGAACTAACTAGACATTAACAAATATAAGGGTAGGGGTTACAAAGATACAAGTGAGAATTATATTTAACAATACGAAAGTAAAAATAAAATTAATATTGCAGTATCTGTCAGGATGGATGCAAAAATGGTTAGCTGAGGCTAATGACGTCTTCTAGTAAACTGGATGGAAGTTGTTAATGTCTGTCTGTTAATATTTCTTGGCAAATTTCTGAGTGAGACGATGTATTTTGTATTATTTACTTCTAGATTTATAATTTTATTTGCTTTGTAATTAAATCGTTTTTTACATCATATTATTTTCTAGTGACTTTTAATCATATTTTTTCACATGTAAATAATAATTATCCATAGATGTTGGGTTAATTAAACATCATAAGGGTTTGACAAATTTTCTCATTTGAGTAGGTACAAGGTACAACTTGCTAATTAGTAACTTTGATTGAACCTCAAAGTGAAATGGAAAAAATGTACACCGGTAAGAACTAAAAAAAAAAACGTATAAAATATGTAATTAAAAAAGCTGAAAATATATTTACAAATACATTTATATATTTTAACAAGAGACATTCATCTTTATGTAGTGTATTCTATTACGAGCTTCTCTGTACTGTACAGTTGACCAACAATTGCCTAAAATAAATAAAATATATATTTTGTGCTGTAAGATAACAGAGTCTTCAACAATACCCCTATTTCACAAGACTAAATATGTCATCAGTTGACTAAACATTGGCCGTGTTCATCACCATAAAACGTGTTTTAGGAATCGTACAATCAAGTTTCATAATCGGTTGAGTTGATGCTGAGCGATCGTTTTGTTTATGCTTATTTCCTTAACATTAAACAAACTTTGATTTGAAGTCTAGCGCTGGTCATATCGAGATAAACGCACTGCTTCGAGAAGCTACCAGAGAAATCGGTGCGTGTCGGCTGAGTCATAGAGGAATAAATTCCGGAAATTCTAGACCATCGAGAATATACTATTGCAGAGCTAGCTTTATATAAATAGCTCGAGTTTGTCGATAGAAGTTAAATTTCAATTTAGGTGTTGGATAGTAAAGAAAAATTGTAATAAATAAATTAGAATTGTGAGTTATAATAAACTGTTTTTAATAAATAAACTATTTTTAAATTAAACAATCGTTATATTAATTAACTACGGGGTGCCATGGTATTTTCATAACGAATATCATGTGTTTTAATTAATATCAAGACTGCCGACAGAAGTGAAAACTTAAAACTATCAAATTAACAGTGCACGGTATTGGGATCTGAAGATAAGCGATACGCCCTCTACTGTGAACTAAAAGTTGTGGCATTTGACACTTGACCGTCTGTGTTCTGTCAAGTTTTCTTTATCAGGTCATGTCAATAAATGTTATTTTAAAATTTAACAAGTATTTTGTTTGAAATATCTTATTTAATAACTAGCTGTTGCCCGCGACTTTGTTCGCGACTTTGCTCGCATGTAGTCGTGTTAATAATATAAAAAAATACGTTACTTCCTTCTTTATTAATTTTTATTAGTTTTATTGATTTTCATTCATTTTTATTCATTTTTTTTATATTTATTCATTCTTAATTATTTTTATTAATTTTTATTTATTTTTATTCATTTTTATTCATTTTTATTCATTTTTATTCATTTTTATTCATTTTTATTCATTTTTATTCATTTTTATTCATTTTTATTCATTTTTATTCATTTTTATTCATTTTTATTCATTTTTATTCATTTTTATTCATTTTTATTCATTTTTATTCATTTTTATTCATTTTTATTCATTTTTATTCATTTTTATTCATTTTTATTCATTTTTATTCATTTTTATTCATTTTTATTCATTTTTATTCATTTTTATTCATTTTTATTCATTTTTATTCATTTTTATTCATTTTTATTCATTTTTATTCATTTTTATTCATTTTTATTAATTTTATTTTTATCCATTTTTATTCATTTTTATTTATTTTTATTCATTTTTATTATTTTTTATTCAGTTTTATTTATTTTTATTCATTTTTATTCACTTTTATTCATTTTCATTAATTTTTATTAATTTTTATTAATTTTTATTAATTTTTATTAATTTTTATTAATTTTTATTAATTTTTATTAATTTTTATTAATTTTTATTAATTTTATTAATTTTTATTAATTTTTATTAATTTTTATTAATTTTTATTAATTTTTATTAATTTTTATTAATTTTTATTAATTTTTATTAATTTTTATTAATAATTTTTATTAAGTTTTATTAAGTTTTATTAAGTTTTATTAAGTTTTATTAAGTTTCATTAAGTTTTATTAATTTTTAGTAATTTTTATTAATTTTTATTAATTTTTATTAATTTTATTAATTTACGTTATAATTAATTAACTCCTTAATTCTGATTAATTCCCGCAATCCAGCTGTCAGTTGGCACATCTAATCGGAAAAACCATATATTATGGTGTTATAAATATTGTTAAATTTTAAATATAAATAAGTTTTAAAAATATTTAATATTATATATTTATATTTAACGATATTTTAGAAGTCTAAAAGTTAGGAGGTGGGCACAAACGAACATATAATACTTCTAGTATAGGATGCACAATGGATCTAGTGGGGCCTAAGTGCCCTGGGGTAACCCACCTTTATACGTTACAGATACTTCTCATATACCATATAACCAGCAACGTTGTGTCGCTAGTTCCTATTGGTCTATGCCCGACTGTGTCATAAATTTTAAAAAATTAATAACTCTGGCAAATGAATAGATAAAAAAAAATTAAAAGTAGCTTTATTTTGAACTGTATTTCATAAAAAAAATCAAAAATTTTTGAATATGCCCCATTGGAAATTAAATAAAACAAAAACATTATATTAACAACATAATAGGAGGATAATATTCAGGTAAACTCATCTTGCAACAAAGTGAATGTTTTAAAATGGAGGCCTAAGTGTTCATAATTTATATTATTTCATAAGAGAAAAGCATTTAAAATAACGAAATTATAAAAACTTTTTTGGAATGAAACCGTTCTTATTTAAAATTATAAATAAGAAAATGTTCATATAACTTTATAAATACGTAAATTATTGTGATTATTATTTTTCAAATAGACTTTACACAAAGTAGAGCGATCAAAATATTGTTCCTCAAAATGTTTTGAACACAGGACACTCACTAGTTTAGTCGGTTACCAATAATCTCTTTGTAAAAAAGTATCTACCTATATATTTAGTTTTTTCTGAATTCTTTACAAAGGACCACGCATTTTTCTTATACAAACGGGAGTACCGTCAAAATGTCTGAATTTTTGATGTGTTAAATAACTTGATGTCCCCATCAAAAGTGACAATGGGCCCAATCGTATTCTATGACTAGATTTTGAGATACAGGATGTTGAAGTTAGAAATCCCTAATTCTTTAAAATGGACACCATAAATCACCCTTAAATATATTTGGAAGTTATTTGCTCATTCTGTATAGTCAAAATACATACTTAACTGTTTTAATTAAAATATTGTCCCTTACAGGGTGATTAATGATTCGGCAGATCTTTTTTGGTCAAAATAGGCATTTCCACCGAACAAAAATAGCTGAAATACCGAAAAAAAAAAAAAAATATCACCGTCAAAGTTTCTCAATATTTGATATAGTACAGTACTCGATGTACTCGTTCAAAATTCTTATTAGTAAGATTACATCCTATGACTAGTTTTCCAAATATAATCTAATTTGTACCAAATATATGAATTTTAAACAAAAAAAATATACTGACATAAGTAGATATGTTTCAGAGATATACTGTATATTAGATAATTTTAAACACTGTGTTGGATTAGAAATATACGTCTTGTACTATTTGAGGGCAGCCAAAATTACTTCCTAGTTACAGGGTGATTGCGGTTGAATATGTAAGGTGAAAAAATCAATAAAATGTTGAAATTGTTGGCAAAAAATAGAAAATAATTGCCTTTTAACTCGGGAGTTGTTTATCAAAAAAATCTTATTAGTTCACATACAGAGTTATACATTATTTCATTACAAAAAAAGTTCATTATACTGTAGGTCTAAGTAGGATTTAGGGAAATGAATAATGATCGGATTACATATTTATTTTGACTAGAGCATTGGCTCTTTATATTGCCTCTTTATGTATATTTATATCAGATTGGGAACTCATCTGACAATCCATGTCTTAGTTTAACAAGGAAAGCAAGTAAAGCTTTTCGAGCAATGCTTCTTAAGTTACCATAATATTGTTCTATTGGTTAACAAAATATAACAAGTAGATACCCAATAAATGAATTTTAAACAATAAATATATACTGACATAAGTATTTTGACACACTGTGTTTAGATTAGGAATATAACTCATATTATTTGGAAACAGAAAAAAATTTCGTACTTACAGGGTGATTGCGGTTGAATATGTAAGATAAAAAAGTCAACAAAATGTTGAAATTGTTGCCAAAGAATAGAAAATAATTACCTTGTGAGTTGTTCATCAAAAAAATATTATAAGTCCACATACAGGGTCATACTTTATTCAGGTACAAAGAAGTTGATTATATTATGATTGGATTACAGGTTTATTTGGCTCGAGTATTGTCGTAAGTGCCTATTTGTATTGTATATTTAAATAAGATTATAAGCTCCATTTCACGCCACCAATGAGGTAAAGCCCCCAATACATTTTGTTTTAAGTCGCATCCCCTAAAAGATGGTTACAGTTGAACTTGCAAGGTGAAAAAATCAACAATATATAAAATTATTGCCAAATATTAGAAAATAAATTGCTTGTGAGTTCTTTTTACTTTCCTATCTGTATACAGATATAAGGAAAGTATAGGAATCATGATTTTTTTCGACCTCGAGTTTTCGACGGATTTTTACGTTTTGAGGTCCCCTGAATCCGTTTTGATTATTTTCGCGATGATGTCTGTGTGTGTGTGTGTCTGTATAACGCATAACTCATGAACCGATACACAGAAAAACACCAAATTTTAAACTTAAGCTTTGTTTAAGCGTCCAATGAGCTGATTAGATTTTGGGCAGAGTCGGAACATCTGGAGGGGTACTTTATAGGTGGTCATTTTTATATTTTATGGAATATATCTGTTATTTACGTTTGGAGAAGAAAATTCTTCAAATAAAAGTTACTTCTAATATAATTATCTATAATTTTTATTTAATGCAAAATTTTCCTAAAATGGTCCGTATTCGAGAAATTTGACAAAATGTGTAAATTTCGAATTTTGAAGAAAACTCAAAAACGGATAAAGAAAAAAACATTAAATTTTAAACTTAAGGTTTATTTCGGCCTGACGTGAAATGATTAGATTTTGGAACAGTCGGAACATCTGGGGGGGTACTTTATGGGAGGCCACTTTTATATTTTATGGAATATATCTGTTATTAATGTTTGGAGAAAAAAATTGTTCAAATAAAAGTTACTTCTAATATTATTATCTATAATTTTTGTTTTATGTAAAAATTTCCTGAAATGGTCCGTATTCGAGAAATTTGACAAAATGTGCAAAATTCTGATTTTTATGAAAGTTTTTGAAATAAAAGTTGTTTGCGATATCGATCTCTATAAGTTTTGTTTATACATTATAAAATGGACCGTAATG